CACACACACACACACACACACACACACGCACACACACACATACTCAACACTTCCACACACACACACACACACGCACACACTTCACACACACATACTCAACACTTCCACACACACACACACACACGCACACACACATATAGAGAACATGACAAGACACAACATGGCCTTGCTAAGCTCTCCGTTCGGGCGGATTGATGTGCCTATCGTCGGGGCTGTACTAGCGGTTGTGCCATTGGGAATCCATGGCTGAGTGGGTGTGTAGAGTGGGTTTTATGGCTGCGTCAGATTAGTTTCTTAGACTTACTGCCGTTCTTGTCAGGGGTTTGGACCGAAAGTCTGCTAGGACTGCACTGTTGATGTTTGTAAGGTCGACCGCCTTTCTCAGGGGTACCACTACCTTTGGGTGACGTGGTGAGTCCTTATCCATCAGTCGAATGCAGCCTGGGAAGACTGTCGGGTTCAACCTCCTGAAGTTGTGTATAGCGAACATGACAACACACACACACGGCCTGCAAGCGTCTGAAAGCTAGGATTGCTGAGGAGGCTGAGGGAAAGTGGGGATAGGGCTGGGAGGTGGGGGGGAGCAGCGGCTAACTCCTCCCGATGTTTTTCCTCTCACTCACTCATTGGCCATGAGAGGTGAGGTGAGGTGAGGTGGCGACTACCCCACCCCTCCCGATGCAGAAAATAAGCGGAACTGGGGGGATGCCGGGGAAGTGATGAAGGCTTCACCTCTCTACCTACCCACCTAACTGCCTACCCTGCCTTACCTACCCTACCTTACCTTCCCTCCCTTCCCTCCCCTTCCCTCCCCTTCCCTCCCCTCCCCCTGCCCTGCTCCCCCCCTCTCGCTGCTGCCACACCCTTACTTCGGTAAGTGATTTCAATAGTATAGGGGCAATCAATAAACAATTAATCTGCAACCAGAATTCTGTTTGCTCGACTTCGATGTGAACCCCCACTGAGGACTCTAGTCTACAAATCTGTGAAAGGTGGGAGTAACTCTTCTGAATGCTTTTGACAGAATGGTTCCGCAGCTATGAAACAGAATTTGCACAAACCCTCTGCAAGAATGCAATAGAAAAATCAACACATTTCGAAAAAGAACAAAAAAAGGAAAGAATCATGAATGGTGTCTTCCTACCTGCATATTTGCAACAAGCAGAGTGAAAATCATAAGGCCAATAACTGAGATGGTGATGCAGAAAAGGATCTCTCCAATGTATGCACTCGTAACAAGATTCGATCCAACCGAGCTGCCATAGAAACAAAGCAATATTAAATGCACACGGAGTGTACAATAGTACACATCCATTGCACATGCAAGGCGAGCAAACAAATCAAACAGCACCAAAAGTGTCCAGAGGTCATTGAGGACGAAGAGATATAACATCTGCGCAGGCAGCAAGATTGCGAGGATGGATTATTTAGGTTTGAAGCCAGGAAAGCAAGAAGGGCAGAGACACTTGATTCACACACAGACCTGAGGCAGCAAGACTACAGTGCGTGCATCGACAGCGAGTAGGACTGCCTGCAGGTCTCAAGTGGTGTCATGAACTTCGAGGACAGGAGTAGTACTTGTAACCATGCAGCGGTGGAATACATGTCACAACTGATACGGCTCCGATTTTGAACACCGAGTTACGATGCAGTGGTGAAGACATCCAGCTTTCTCAAAAAGATTGCTTATCTGACTCCATGCAGTCTCGCAGACGAATCCAGGGGAAGACTGATCGGTTACCCGGGCAGCAACCCATCATCCGCTGAGGAAAGATGGAGTGTTGCCTCAGGGAATCAGTTGTGGGGCAGTCAGTGACGATTAGAGGGGACACCTTTGGCCGTGTTTTGTTAGAGGCCGGCCAGATCTATCTAATCCTGTTTGCTCCCCGCGCTTTCGCACCTCCGCTTCAGTAGAGACCCAGAAAGACACCTTCGCTTTTGGCGTTCCTGCTAATATCTACGAGTTTTATCTCTACACTAGAAATTCTACTTTCCTCTTACTCCAGTGAATCGGTTTTGAAGGCATTCCACCAGTAGAGCTGGTGAACCAGGGTTACGGCAGATTACGACTTGAGGGTATCATTCCGTACTGGGACCGTGCACACTGGAGATGGTGGGAAGTGTTCTCTATGACTATACACACGACTTCACTAGCTCCCTGCTATGGTTTTCTCGAGTGATGTTGAGCAGCAGAGGTCAGAGCCGTCACTACACGGCCATGCTCTGCATCTAGTGCTAGGTGTGGGTCTGGAGTGTATTTTCTCACTGTGACAGACCTTTCTTTGTTTCATGGGGTTTTGCTGGCCTATGATGGGGTGTGAACCTCCAGCCGGTAGGCGTACCTGCTGCTTCAACGTTTATCCATGCTTGGTGACGCGCCATGCTGGTCCAGCACCTGATACTTATGTCCGCCACGTTTTCTTTTGTGCTTTTGTTTTTGGCGTGTTCTTTTTCTGCTTCTCTCTCTTTTCCTTGCCAGGGACACTTTCCCAACGTACACGGCCCCTTTTCCAACATACACGACCTGATACTTAGTCCATCACGTCGGCTTTTGTGCTTTTGTTTTTATTTTTGGTCTTTTCAAAATCCAAACAACATTCACCATGGATTAAGGCCAGCCTGTTTGATAGTGAAACTAAACCTCCAACATCCAAACTGCCATGAAGGAGAAGAACAAACGATTCCGTGTCACTTAAGAGAGCGCAAACATTCAGTTAGAAAAGGAGGTTCAGGGCAGTCCCGGCTTCCCACAAAGGTCAAGAGGCCAAGATATAAGCAAGAAAACCAACAGAGCCCTCTTTTTTAATAGCAGCATGTCTCAAAGAGGCGCTCGTGTTCACTGCATAGCAATAACTCTACCAGTGTTGACTTGGATTTCTCTCTCTCTCTCTCTCTCTCTCTCTCTCTCTCTCTCTCTCTCTCTCTCTCTCTCTCTCTCTCTCTCTCTCTCTCTCTC